GCCTCCTGAAGTTGTGCTCACCCAACAATTCCTGCCACTCTGTCACAAGACACATATTCTGACCCCTGGGCCTTCAGGTGAACAAAGCCAAATCGACATTCTATTCTACACAAAAGATACAGTTCATAGGAGTATGCCTCAATTTGACAACAGGTACCGCATTCCTACCTACAGACTGTTTTCAAAAAATCGTAGCCTCAGTAAATTGAAGTTGTGCTCACCCAACAATTCCTGCCACTCTGTCACAAGACACATATTCTGACCCCTGGGCCTTCAGGTGAACAAAGCCAAATCGACATTCTATTCTACACAAAAGATACAGTTCATAGGAGTATGCCTCAATTTGACAACAGGTACCGCATTCCTACCTACAGACTGTTTTCAAAAAATCGTAGCCTCAGTAAATAACTTACGATCCAGCCCCTACACAACAGCACTCGAATGCCTTTGGCTGTTGGGGCACATGCCAGCGTGCAACTTTGTACTTGGCAATGCCTGTCTGCGCACGAGATGCTTACAGAGCTGGTTGGGACAGGTGTACAAACCTAATGTCCATCCGCTATCCAACTCCCCTGCTCTTCCAGGGGTGGTAAAGAAATCCTTTTGCTGGTGGCTGAGCCCAATTAACCTGTGTCGCGGATTCTCCTTCTACTCACCAGAACCATCTGTCTCCATGATGACGGATGCATCTCGTACAGGATGGGGTGCCCATCTGTACCATCATACTTGCTAGGGCCTGTGGTCCAGCACCAACAAGAATTTGCACATCAGCGTCCTAGAACTGCGGGCAGTCAGGGATGCATGCGCCAATTTCCTCCTATTCATCGCCAACAGACACGTCAGACTGTACATAGACAATGTTGCAGCAATGTTTTACATAAATCGTCAGGGTGGAGCCTGATCTCGAGCACTCTGCCCAGAGGCCATAGCACTTTGGAACTGGTGTCTGAAATGCAACACAGTTATCACCGCAGTGCATCTTTCAGAAGCCTTGAATACAAAGGCAGATGCACTCAGCAGAGCCCTCCAGGTCAAGCATGAGTGGCAAATGAACCTGCACATATTGGCGGACATCTTCCACTGACTGGGTCACCCTTCCATAGATCTGTTTGCCATGCAGTTCAACAGTCAATGCCTCCTATTCTGTTCCATGGCAGGAATAGGCTAAGGGTCAGTGGGGGGTGCCTTTCTCATCACATGGATGTCCCACCTATTCTACGCATTTCCTCCGATTCCCCTGTTGAACAGGATGGCTCACAAAATGAGGGACAGGGCCCGTCTCATATGTACAGCACCAGCATGGCCTTGCTAGCGATGATTTTTCTCCTGACGGCAAAATCCTGCGCCCCCATTTACCTTTCATCAGGGATCTCATTCTTCACCTGGGCTCCCAAGATGCCCACCCGAACCTCCACTCGCTACACCTGAAGGAGTGGCTCCTGGATGGTTCTCTGACCTAGAGTTGACCTGCTCAGAGCAACAAACGGTCCTTCTACACAGTAGGGCACAGAACACCTGCAAAACTTACTTTCGGAAATGGAAAAGATTCTCGATGCGGTGTGCTTGTCACCAGCTGGTTACTTCAACATCCCCCTTACCTACCATCCTTAACTATCTTCTGCACCTTAAAAAAGCGAGACTCTCAATAAGCCCTATTAAAGTTGACCTTTCATGCATTGCTATGTTACACCCCAGGATAAACGACTCGTCCATATTTGCTCATCCACTCACTAAGAGGTTCTTAAAGGGCCTGCAGGCCGTTTATCCAGATATCAATCCACCAATGAAACCGTGGAACCTGCATTTAGTATTGAATGCTCTAACTAGGCTTCCCTTACAACCAGTGGCGACAGCCTTGTTATTGCACTTGGCCATGAAAATGGTTTTCTTGATAGCCATTACCTCAACCAGACAGGTAGGAGAGATCGCGGCCCTAATGGTGAGTCTTTTTTTAAAGACAGTTTTATGAATCTTATCTCATATGGCAGTCATTCCATACCCCTAATAATTTTGGTTGCCCTTTTCTGAACTTTTTCCAAAGCAAAGTTTTCTGCCCCAAACATCTCTAGACTAGAGAGGAAGCCTTTCTTCACACTTCAGATGTTGGAAGGGCATTTGCCTTTTATCTGGAAAGCACTAAATGCTTTAGTGTTTGTGAGAGACTGTTTGTGGAGAGAGTTAGAGGAGCCCTGGTCTTCACTCAAAAATTCTCCAGGTGGGTTTTTGTTGGTGTTCTCTGTTGCGACAAGCTCAACCTCCTGTTCAAGTTACGTATTACTCCACTTGATCAAAGGCTATTTCCCAGACCCTATTAAAAAAGTTCTTATTGGAGAAATATGCAAAGATGCCACATGAGCTTTGGGCCTCATCATTTTGTAATCTGCTATTCTATACATGCCTGTAGAGCAAGATGCCACATTGGCATTGTTGGAGTCTGGTACCAAAATATTCACCTCCTTTACACAGTACTGCCCAGGAATCACCTGAAGTGGAGGACTGATTTGGGGGCATTATTCAAAAGGGGAGGAGTTCTTTACCTTTTACAGTAACTGGAATTCTTTGAGATGTTTGTCCGTATGAGTGGCCACTAGGTGCCATCCTTCTGCATTGGCTTTTTCTTTTATGGCACAGTGTTAGAGAAGGAATTTAATTGTATTCCGTAACACTCCCCTTATAGAATCTTCTTATGGGGAATGAACTGTCGTTGCTACCAGAAATTTCTGATCAAATGTGTTTGAGGCTTGTGCACGACTAAAAATGGAGCACCCATAGGGAGACATGTTCTGCTCTTATTACAAACCTCTCAATGAACTTAAATTAATTTACTGCTACCTAACTCGTCCTTTAATACGCTGTCATTGGTAGATTATTTTGTACCAAGGTGACTGCCCCCAGAAATGTTTTTAGAAATGCAAGATGTGATAAATGCCTTCAAATATACTTCTGTTCAAGGGTCGCTTATCGGCATTATTCCAGAGCTTTGAATGTTGAGACTGCTGGGTTGAAGAGAGTTAGTGGATTTTTAAAATCTATTATCTCTATAATTTTAGTAGTTTCAAAAGATACTTCTCTGCATATGTTTCTGCTGGATCCTTTGATTTAATGAGTTCTCTCACTAGCTACTGTTAGAAGCATGTGGGTAAATCTCCCTATGGAATTATAATATTGTGTTGTCATTCCCAATATGCTCTCTAGAAAGCACTATGTTTGTATTGATAGCTACTCCAGATAAACATTTCTGATATTTTTATAATCTTTCTGGGAAGTACTTCATTTGGGGACAAGATTCTCTAATGAACAACAGTAAGGAACAGTGTTGATCCTTTGAATGCTACATGCAGGAACAGTAGTGTCCTATATGTAGATACTTCAGTGCCTCATGTTTAGAGATGCACTAGTCTTTATGCTGTTACCATATCTCAGATCTTACTAAGGAACTTAACATTATATTCTCACCAGTACCAATACTTCATTGTGTGAGTTTATTGAAAACAGTATAGGAACTTTTGTTTTTACACATCTAGGTAATGCTTCCATCTATGTACATATTCTCTAAAGTGCTGCGCTTCTTGGTAATACTTAGTTAAATTTCTGTGAATTATTTTTGGTCAGCTCGTCTGGGAATTTTTTTAAAACATTTTTTTTAAATTCAGGAGGAATTTGAAGTTGAAAGGAAGACTGACTTGCACAGCAAGGAGCAGATGTTGATACAAGAGACAGAAAAGGCACAAGACTGTTTCCAAAAGGAGAGAGAGGAATTATCAGTACAGATCCAGGAAAAGATAAATAAAATCATCCAGGTATGTGGAATACTGAAGCTTAGATTTTAATTGCACTTTTCTTGTCTCCTGTTTTAAACATAGCTTCCCCTCCCATGAGTCTATACAAGGGCTGTCATTTTGGTGCAGTCATTGATTTATAACTATTTTTAAGGCATTGTTAGCTTCTTCTGTATGCTAGTATGTTATGGGAATAGCATTGCACCTCAGTGAAGAAAACCTTGTGACATAGCATGGTTGAGGCTGCTTCGAAGGGAACCTATCGTCCCAGTTATTTTCAGTGATTGTTTCAATATTTGAATGATTTTTTGGTATTTAGGCAAATGTACCAGATATGTCTTGCATAGAAGGGACATCCTTGTGTTGAAGTGAGGGTGTTAGACAAGGGAGAGGAAGGGACAGACAAGGGTAACAATAATTACTCTTAAGGCATGTGTATATATTGGTGATTCTATGTGTTTGCTTGTCTGTCCTCTCCTTTGTTTCTTGCAGGTGAGATGGGTTAGGTTTAGGAGGGATTTAGCAGTGATGGCTTGGCAAAGAAATTTGGGGCATCAGGGTACCATGAAAAAAGGTTCAGACATACCTGTGAGCGACAATGCTGGCTGATGTTTTGACTTTTAAACACATTGCCTCTGCTATAAACTCTATAGTCCTCTCTTAAAAACTAAGCTTTCATTCTCTTAAATACTAACTTATTACGTTTCACTTTTAGTAGTGTTAGATCAAAATAAGCTACATTTGTGACTTTTGAAACAAAACTGGGAACAATTTCTTGAAGAAACTTGTATGCAAATGCAAGATGCCTGGTTTGACGTCAAAACAGTTCAGTTTGAATACTTTATATCAGTGTGGGCAAATTCCAGCCAGCAGGATGGATTCGGTTCACAGGATTAATCCCTGGTTGGCTCCCACCTCTATATTTACCTGCGCCTCCACAGTATTGAGTGATGGCAGCTTTCGTTGGCGGATCAGCATTCTGTGCCAATTGGAGCGATGGGAACCGTGGTCCCAGTCCATGCTGCTTTCCGCTGCTCCAAATGGTCATCTGCGGTCAACGAGAGCGTCCATCACCTGATGCCTGCAGAAATGCATATTTTAGTCCCAGGCTTCATTTGCAAGTTCGAATGCCTAAATTAGCCACCCTAGTTCGAACTAGGGTGGCTAGTGTAGCCATACCCTAGGAGAGCAAAACAGTTTTAACTGACATTGTTTGTCTTTTTTCTGTCCTCCAACTTTTGTGCTACTAGAATCAAAAGTAGAATGCAGTCCTCCAGCGCTTCTCTGTATTGCCAATAAGATTTCAGAATAAAATCACTTAATAAAATATACAAGTTTGATTAAAAAATTACTGGCTTTTTATCCCCTTGCCTTTTTGTTTGGTTTCCCACAGCTGGAAAATAAAGTGGAATCTTTAAATCATGAGTTGGAGGTGACTAACTCAGAGCTAGAGACCCTCCTACAGCGAAGAGACAGAGAAAACCAAGAAGGAGAGAACTTGGTAGCTATGTTGAGATCTGATATTGAACTGTCCCAGAATGAAAGGTGAGTTCATTTTGGGATATATAGCATGCAAAGTATTGTATCTGTTTATTTTCTGGTAAACAAAATGGTAAGTAAGCCAAATTAAATGTATAAGAAAATGACAATGTTTTTGCTTTCATTGAAGCATATCCAAATTGCTGTTAGCCTTTACAAGCTAAAAATTTAGGATACCTTGAAAATGAACATTGCTCTTCTGGCATCTACTTCACCAACTGTGGTATTTGTTCATTATCTGAGGGTTTTTCTGGAGTCTGATGAAAGAGCTGGTTAGATTTGTTCAGCTTACCTCTGGATACATCAGAATATCAGTAACAATTGGAATTGAGAAGTAATTGAAAATAGACGCTGTAGTGGAAAAATCATATGGATTATTGAAATGAGAGTAATGGATAGTCCTTATCTCATGGTAGATGATCTCTGGAAAATCTCTGTATGGTGTAAAGTTTCTTTTCCCAGTATGTTTCCAACACTAATCTTTACAAATACGCCAGTGTTGGAAATGATCATGTTTATCCCACATGCCAGTTACAGGCATGGTTTTAAATATGGCCTGTTTGATCAAAGGTATTTTGAATTTAATATTTATATCTTTTGAAAACTTTAGATCGGAATTACTGCAATTCATTTTACTATGCTGTTCATAATCTGTTCATTTGCCTCTTTCTCAGGGGTTACTGTAACTGATGTTGATTTGCCTTATAAGCGTTTTAGTTGATATTTGAAATGTCGCACATGATGGTGACTATTACCTGTTCGCCAAGAATGTACTCTGGGACTATGCAACAAAGAAGGATGTAGCATTGTCCCAAATGGCTTATAATGAAAACAGGCAGACCATATAGTTAAAATGTGACGATGCAGAGGCTGGTATACCAAAACAGAAGCTGTAGACTTTAATTTTCCAAATATATAAATATGTATTGGGTACTTGATTCGTTAGTTGAAAACTTTTCTGTAGTAGAATGTGTGTGTGGGGACGGGGGAAGTGTTTCAGAGACGTCTGAGTGAGGAAAAGGACATCAGTTAGTGCAGAAATAAAGTAATGGATATCTTGGTGCATGGAATGGAATTGAAGTGAAGGTGCTAAGAGGAGAGTCAGATAAAGATACAAAGAAGGGTATGTTGAAGTACAGGAAACAACATGGGGAGTAGGAGGAAATGGGAGAAACAAAAATGGAATTGTGCCATGCCACAAAGGTGAGAAAAATATAATACAGAAGACAAGCGGAAGCCATTGAAACAGTTTGAAGGCTGGAGTAAAGTGGCCACTACTGTAGGAGTGAAAGAGTTTTTAGAACTCTTAATTTCTTCATAGGTTAAGAATTAAAGTTAGGCCAGTCATGAGAAGGGTGTATTAGACAAGGGTGGCCAAGAATGGAGAAGGAAAGCATGGTTTTAAGGCAGAGGCGGGGGGAAAAAAAAGCAAGATAATGCTTAAAACTGTATGTGGTGCAAGAGAAGGCTGAGTGTAGTACAGACTAACCAGCTCTCTGCTCTTAGCTGCAGATGGTGATGGAGAGAGGTGGAGGAAGGTCTGTTAATTTTTGAGAGGACAGTGGCTCATACAGGAGTTGACATTGGGGGAAATATTTCCATGTGGATGGGAGATTAGGAGGGAAAAGGTAGAAATGAGTCATCTGCTTAGACCCACAGAAGCTGAGATTGTGGGAGCACATGATGTCCTCAGAGGTGAGAGTTAAGAGGGACCGAGGGCATAACTCTGTGGGAGAGGAGAGAGAGCAGAAGAACAACTAGATTTGATTGGCATGTGTTTTCCAGAGCTAAAGAATTATTCGGCAGGATAAGCTTTAATGCGACATACCAGTGAAAACTCAATTTCTTGCCTTTATTTTATGGAAGGAACTTTCATTATATTGGTATTGTTTTGTGTGGAGAAGCTTAGTAAACATCAAGATGTCTCTTCCCTCAGTAATCCCTAAAAATTCAGTTTGTGATGGCATGAAACCTTCAATTTATTTGCAAAACTTGTCTAATATGTATGAATGGTATAAGGCACTTGTAATAACAAATCAATATTTTACAGATGTTTTTGTTGTTGGGAGATAGCAATTGTTTAGCATTCCAATAGAGCAATGAAGAGACAGTGTCTTAAGGTCTGATTTTAACAAGGTCTAATTTAGCAATTAGTTATCCATTTGGGAGTTTGATAGTAAAAATAGTTGCCAAGTGGCATCCTTACTAGAAGAGACACTTAAATATTGATAAAATGCTGTGCCACAATCACTCAAACCTGCAGAGAGGCAAAGTGTTACCAAGATTTAGGTGCCTCTTCTATTTCACATATCCTGTACTTGGTATTGCATGGTATTTCTATTCTAGGAAAAAACTGCAGGAATCCTATCAGCGAGTTTTGAAATTATTTATGGAAATAGTAAAGACCACGTTAGCTGTAGAAGACCTTATCTGTAAGAAAATTGGTCTCTGTCTTGATGATGATAGTCTGGCATCTGGAGATTCTAGAGAAAGTCGCAGCATGATGGAAGAAGTGGGATTCATACAACATTTCAAAGCCAGAGAGAAGCATGACCTAGAAAAAAGTGAGTGTCAATCTGGGTATAGTTATTTTTTAAAGATAATGTTAATTTCATATCATATAGCCAAGGCTGTAGACATGGGTATTTAGTATTGCAGTGTTTTCTGAAAGGTTTTCTCCATACTTATGTTTGGACTCTGTCAATATTGTGCTTTAATCTTCTTGACCAGGAAGATGCTATGCTGTAGTCAAGACAATTCCACTGTGTGTTCATCAAACCATTATAATGTGTCCTTGTCAACCTCCAAATAGGAGACGACCATTTTTCTCTTATAGCTTTGTGAGCCACAACTGGCACAATGAATGGACTTGGTAGCAACTTCATGCTAGCCACATGGCCTTCTGTTAAGATATAACAGATTGTCATATGTAACTGGTCAACATGAATGTAAGTGTAACTTGTCTTCAGACATCTCAAAGTAGTTCCATAGCTTACAAAAATATATCCAAATTCTATGAAGGGGCATGTCAGTTTTTAAGTATTAAACAGTTTCTTTAAGGTGAAATGTTTTTCTGTTAATTAAACATTGCTCAGTCCTACGCAGCGGTGGTGTTATTTTTGTATATGTTCATGTCACTTAGTTGTGTAATGAGTAGCTGTTTCTGGAATATTTCTTTTTTCTAATTCTTTTTATTTTTTGGTAGGTGACCTGCTTGATGAAACTCTCACAGAACACAACCAGGTATCTGCAGTGACTGACGAAGGGTCTGACCTGAGTCAGCACTTATGTGAGAGTGTTTTTGCAAGCCCAGACCTGGCATTTGAGAATGAAGAGATGATCCTGAAAATCTGTCACCGTTTGCGCACTGCTGTGGAGAAACTTCTAGAGCTGGTTACAGAATCGACTAAACAAGTAAAACTAGATTTCAACCTTTAGCTACATATTGTCATAGCCAGTTGAGGTCTGATGCTCTGACATGTTGACATTATTTGGCATTAAGGCATTTGCACTTTGTAGAATGGGGTTGTTGGGGAGGTGCCTGAAAACCTATGTACACAGCTCCCATTCCCAATAAGAAATCTGTACACATCTTCCTTTTGCTGCATTGATAGTCCTGCCCCTAAAGAAAGAGAGGGGAAAAAAGCACTCTACAGCACAGTACTGTGTTAAACATTATATTAAAAAAGGGGAAGATTAAAAAAAAATTTGACAGGATAATGAAACTGTTTCTGTGCTTGCTTCATTTAAACCAAGGGGGTTGAAAGCTGCATTTTTTTTTGTGAACAGTAAAATTTCAAAGCTGCATTAAGTCAGTGCTTAGTTGTAAAATTTGAAAGAACAACCATAATATTTATTCTTACGAATAACCTCCATTCCCAAGGTGTTTAGAAATCTGAGATTCTACCGTATTTTGGACCTGAACTAGATTACATATCATCTGTATTTTATGAGCTGCCTGTAATAATAAAACAAGATGTCAGTTGCAATGGCACGGTTTAAACTGGAACTTTAACTCAACTGTGTAATAGACATGTATCCCCTCCCTTTTTCCAGATCTGAATTAAGATTGTCTGGTTGTTAGTAGTTGAAGCAAAACCCTCAAGGCTTTCAGGGCCTCTGAAGTGACCTTCCTGCATAAAACAATGAGGACTGACCGGGGGAGGGAGGGGCAGTTCTACTGAGGAAAACTGTCATCCCAGAGACTTTTTAAGAAAGGGATAAAGGGCAGTAATAAAAGGTCACAAAAATCCCTGCTAACCCCATACTTACTTATAGACTTTGCATAGCTTACACACTGCGAAAAGGGGTGGGAAGTCTTGTACAATGCAAACTAGTGCATAGCTGAAAGATGAAACTGTAGGTGTTGCAGTTATTGAGTTAAGCACTGCAAGCAGAAAGATCCTTCATGTGTTTCACGATATTGTCAATCTCCAGAACAGGGGTGGGCAATATTTTTTGATGGGGGGGCCACTCCAAGATTTTGGAAACTGGTTGAGGACCATACTCTTCCAAGATATTAATGGAGGAGGTGCAGGGTTTGGGATGGAGGTTGGGTGCAGAAGGGAGCTTGGGGTAAGGAACTGGGGTGCAGGAGGGAGAATGGAATCTGGGAGGGAGTTTGGGTGAAGTAGCTAGTTGTGACCTAGGGCAGTGGACTGGGATGCAGGATTTTGGGATGTGACCTAGGTTAGGAGGGGCTTGTGATCTGGGGCAGGAGATTGGGGTGCCATACCTGGGAGTGGGTATTGGTGCAGGAGGGGGCAGAGGGTTGGGGAAGGGAGGGGCTAGGGTACCAGAGGCAGGCTCTGGGTGGAGGTTACTTGCTGTTCCACGTGTCCGTGCTGGGGCATGGGAGAGAAGGCTTCCTACACTGCCTCTGTTCCCAGAAAAAATTCTTGGCTCCTATTGGCTGGAAACAGAGATTGGCCAGTGGGAGCTAAGCGATTTTTTTGGGGGGGAGGGGATGGGAAACAACATGAGAAGTCTCCTTCCTCCCTCCCCAGCAGTCTGGAGTGGAGAACAGCTGGCTTTCTAAAACGTGAGCTGATCTCTGCCTAACGATCCCAGCAAGTGAGCTGCAGTTTGGATCCGGCCCACTGGCAGCCTCTTGCCCACCCCTTCTCTAAAGGGAAACTTAGGACTCAGCTGCTAGCCAATAGCGAAGTTAGCTTTGACTTCAGTGTGAATGGGATCAAAACATGCATTTTGCAGTTAGGTGGTTGTTTGAAAAGACCTACTTTTGTTGTTATTGCTGCAAAACAGTTGGGTATTAATATGTTAAAACAAAGTCCTGTATTAAAACATGTTAGGACTATGTAGCCGAAGCACTTGATAAATATGTCAAATGAGTCCCCTTCTTGTAAGAGTTCAGATTAGTGTTTTATGCTGTGATGCACTTTTTTTTTTAAGTTGGAGAAAACACATGAAATTCACGCTCACTTTGAGGAAGAATTCAGCCGTAGAAATCAGGAAACTGCCCAAGTAGTTAGTCAACAGCACGAGCTAATGGAGTGTCTAAATGAGGAAAGTGAAGCAAAGAATCACTTAGCACTGGAGCTTCACAAAGCAGAAGGTAAGGAAATGAAATAGAAATGGAAACATTTCAGATGCTATTTATATATTACAACAAAAAATATTTGAAGGCAATACCTTTGCATTAATAATACACATATACCTGCCCACTTGGTCATTCTAAATTCCTGTGTCATTTGAAAGAGATGCATCTTCTTTCTCACCTCAGACGTGGTACTTGCCTCCCCCCAATGTTCCCTGTAATCTTTTCCATCCATGTGTGGATTTTTTCCATCCTGTGTGCATATGTATCACCAGTAGAAATTAACAAAAAACAACCTAGCTGCAGGCCCTGCGCTGCATTTGAATCTCTCCCGAGCAGCCTCACAAGTGCACAACTTAGAGGGAACACTGCTCGCCACCATCAAAATTACACTTGCCTGTGACCTGGAATGGGCCCAGTGCTTAGTACTGCACTAGTGGCATGTTGTTTATTCTAAAAATGTCAGAAGTTTATATCATTTGGGAAGAAGAGATGCTTCGTTCTTCAAGGTGTCTGAGCACTTCTGTGCCTCGGTAAGGCTGTGCACACAGGGCAACCAGCTTGTGCTGTTCCAAGCAGTTATCCCGCATGTGCAGCCAACCATCCCCTCAGTTCCTTCTCCACCACCTTTTAGCTTCAGTTGAAACAACAGCAGCACCCTCAGAAAAATTCTTCAACGCCTGTTTTTGCTTAGTGTGCACTCTTTTATTTTGCTTTGGCCCTCTGGGGCCCACCCCATTGCCCTCCAACCCTCCAAAAGCTTCTATTTTCTCCTCAGCCACTTTGCTGGTTATTGGAGGGCCACTTGGCCATACTTGGTTCCCCTGGCTTTAAAAGTTGTTTAACTTGCAGACTGTCCACTCCAGTCTCTGATGGACACTCACAATGTGTTGGGAGGGGGGGGGGAAACTGATCAGAAGTGTTCCCATTATAAAAAGCTCATGTCCAGAAAGGCCAGGGAATTACAACTAAAACTGATGCTCATGGAGAATCGCTCCACCATGCCTCTTACCCTGAGCATATAACTCTCCCACGCCAACCATCTCTCACAGTTATCTCAGACAAGGGACCCACCTCAGAATTGACCATGAGAGACCCTGCCTCGCCCACAGGCTCAAAAAAAATGCAAACGTTCCTCCTTTTGGAGTGATTTGCGTCGCAGAAAGTGAGCTCCAGTATCAAAATCTGCCCCAATACTGATGGCACCTAGACTTGAGCACCGGACCATGAGGCACCTGGTCCTTCGGGCGCTGAGACGACCCAAGGAGCGAAAGACTTGGTGTGATCAAGCTCTCAGACCAGCTCTCAGATGAAAGCTAAGATGGCTCCTCTGGTGCTAAAAAAAATCACAGCCTACCCCAGCATCAAACAGCTCTGTGGTGCCACCTAAACAGCAACAAGCTCACGGCACCGTTGGTGTAGACACAGCTTCCAACCCTCTTTATGCTGCTTGTACCAACGTTTCTGGAGTGACAGCAATTTACCAGACATACTGATCGACTTGTGGCATCTATGCCTGGAATGCCATTGTTTGGTTCTGATGGCACTGTTAGCACCATGATTTAGTTGGCCTTCTATATCCTGAGGCACTGCCCCTTGTCACTCCAGTGATGAGGATGAGATCTCAGTGGAAGCTCATTGTCACTCCTTGCCCAGACCAGCTGTCGTACTTGGGGGGAAAAGAAGCTATCATAGGTATAAAAGACTGATGGTTGCACCAAAAAAATGTCATTCCTTGTCAAAAAATTATTTAATAATAATGTTGTTTTTTGTATTGTGCTTTGTGCTTAATGCAATCAGAAACATTACCTAATTAAGCTTAATATCAGCCTTTGTAGGCAAATATTATGCCCTTTTTATACATGGGGAAATTGATGAACAGAAGGACTGAGTTCTTGTCTTTGGGGAGTGAGGAAGAGAAGCTATGTAGAGAAGTGGTGGTGGTTGTCACAGCTACATGCAAGGGTGCTATAAACAGGAGGGGGAAGAACTGTTATGAATAAGACATGAAAACGTATTTAAATTGGAATTTCAGATTTAAATATCTATTTTAAGTGCTCATATTGGAGCTCTAAGCTCTTGTCCAAATATATTTAAAACAGGAGAAAATGTTTTATGGCAGTATGGTATTCACCGACAGGCAGTGCTTGAACATTTGGTCACAACTTGATGAGCATGTTTTCTACAGAAAATCCTCCTGAAAAGGAATAAGACTAATGACCAAAAAGAGTCTTTATGATTTTATGAACAAATATGATACTCATTTTGAAAACTTTATTGTTCCTTGTACATGGTAAATTTGACAGGTAAGAACATAAACATGGCCATACTCGGTTCAGGCCAGTATTCTGATTTTCAACAGACTGGTGCCAAATGTGTCAGATGGAGTGAACTGAACAGAGCAACTTACCAAGTGATTCATGCCCTGTTGTCCTGTCACATTGTGTAGCATGAGTTTTAGCGTCGCCCAGAGCATGGGATTGTATCCCTGACTTCTTGGCAAAGTGCATTAGATGGACCTATGTTCCATGAACATACCTAATTGTTTTTTTAATCCATTCGTACTTTTGGCCTTTACAACATCCCCTGACAATGAGCTCTACAGTTTGTGTGATGTATGAAGATATACTTCCTTTATATTGGTTTTAAACCTGCTGCCTATTAATTTCATAAGGTGGCCGCTGGTTCTTGTGTTCTGTGGATGGTGAGTAACACTTCCCTATTCACTTTCTTCACATCATCCTTGATTTCTAAACATCTGTCATATCCCCCTCAGTTCTCTGTTCCAAGCTGAACAGTCCCAGATCTTTTTACTCTGTCTTCATAGGGAATCTGTTCCATAGCTCTCTAATTGTTTTTCTAGTCTTCTCTATGCTTTTTTCCAACTGAGCTGCACAGATTATTCAAGGGGCAGCGTAGCATAGGTTTATAGTGGATTTAAAGTTCACATGTAACAGATGTATTTATCTAAATTTTAGTTTGTATATATTAAAAATATATGTTCTTTAAGGGATTTCTTTCATAAATCTGTGCTCTTATGTATCTCTGGCACAACTTGGACCCGTCCAATAGCTCAAAGAAAACCTTAAAAAAAAAAAAAAAAAAAGCTTGTATGTATAATCAATTCATATGCTGAGAAGTCATACTCTCTTCTGTCATAAGCTCCTATTTGAATTATTTTGTTTTCCTGCAAACAGGCTGTGAAACAGCTTAAAAAGCCCATAGTATGTTATGGGTTATTTTCTGTTTTTAAACTGAGATACAGTAAATGAACTTAAACAATTTATTCCTCTTTGTGATAATTTCAGTAATTAGTTGATAGTATTTTATAAAAGAACTTAGGTGTCCATTCTTTTTAGTTTCCTTATGTCTTTTGGGTTTTAGGTATCATTGAAGGCTATGTAGCTGAGAAAGCAGCCTTAGAAGAAACACTGAGCCTGAAAGAAGAGTCTGAACGTCGTCTTATTGTGGAACTAGAGACTTTACAGGAACGGTTTCAAGAGCTAACCCAGGAGCAAGCAATACTCTGTGAGGAGCGGGCTATGCTAATAAGTCAAAAGAAAGTGCTGGCTGCCAATGTAGGAGAAGCAGAAGCTGGTAAGAAATGCTGTGATAGCATTTTTTGATATTGTTTTTGGAGAGGTAGAACAGGGACTCCCAGTTAATGCTAAAAAGAAATAAACTCAAATGTCACACTTATGTTTCAGTAATGAGATGTTGCTGCTATTATGATAAATAGAAAGATGAATATAAGCAAACAATGCCAGTATGGAGGGGCAAGATTAGAAAGTCACATGAGTTACCTGTTATGCCTCTAGCTAGATTTAACAAGAAGATGTTCTACAAGTATATTAGGAGCAAGAAGACGACCAAGGACAGGATAGGCCCATTGCTCAATGATTACGGAGAAACAGTAAGAGAGACTTGGAAATGGCAGAGGTGCTTAATGACTTGTTTGTTTCAGTTTTCATCAATAACATGGATGCTGATGGGATGTCTAATATAGTGGATGCTAGTGGAAATGGGGTAGGATTAGAAGTTGAAATAAAAAAAAGTTAAAAATTACTTAGAGTTAGATGTATTCAAGTCACCAGGGCCTGATGAAATGCATCCTAGAATATTCAAGGAGCTGATAGAGGAGGTATCTGATAGTTTAGCTATCATCTTTCACCCTATGTATCATCTTTCACCCTATATGATTAGCAACTTGACATCCAAATTGAGGCAGGTTACCTTTTGGAATGTACGTAAGTTTGGCATGATCCCTGCTCTGTGTTAAACTCATTAGTGATCTGGAAGGTGGAATGGATCAAAAAGTTGCCCTATTTTTGTCTTGTATGTGTTCCTATTCATAGGAGTTCCTGTTGCTAATGTAGCACAAAGGGAAGATCCAGGTTCGTAACAGTGTGACTTTACGAGAAATTATGTGAATTAACGACTTTGAATTTAATCTAACAAAGAGGAACAGTATTTCAGAATTATGCTAAAAATGATTAGTAATACATCTGCCACATAATTAATAATGTGGGCAAGTTTAAGGCATTACTTTCATATTTTAAAAGACTCACAAAACTGAAATTATGTAAAAAAGTTAATTGATTATTTAATGATATCATTCTGCTGATGTCAGTCTTAAATTCTGCAGTGTAATCATAAGCAACCAAAATTGTTGTTTTTGAATAGACAAAAAAATTTTACATACTGGATATGGTTGGAGATTTTAATAGTGTTGGCACTGATTTCCTAGAAGGTAAGTGTATTTTAAAAACTGTTGCGATTCCAAGTGCAGAATCTATGGATGGTAAGTGAAAGAGAGCTGAAGGAACTGGAAGGAGGACTGTGGGAGGAGAATGGAGCTAGAATAACACTGAAAAGGAGGAGAGGAGCAAGGTAAGAATGGACTAAAGGGAAGGACAAATTCAGTGGAAATTGATAGAGGAGCAAAAAATGAATTTGAAAGGAAATGGTGGGAATGATAGGAAAGAGAACAGGACTCTTAGAAGAAGGAATGAATAGAAATAATAAGAGAGATTAGTGGTTTTAAATGACTATTGGAAGTCTAATGCTAAAATAGACGCAAACAAATGTTTTGCTTTAATATACAAATGAGAAATTTTGAGCTCTCTAGAAAATGTAGCCATAACTCTTTTAATACGTGTTAGTGTGTGCAGTACACATATAATAAATGAAGAGGAGAAATGCTTATCTTTTGAGAAACCCCACAAGTATTGCTGTGGATACTTGTGCATGCTAGCCTTGTGAGGGAAGAACATGAGCTGGGATGAACTGGCCAGATCACAGTCCAAGGTATAGGGAGAGGGCAGTGTTGAGCTGCCTCTTCAACTGCTGCAGCTTTATTCCTTTTGTTCGCCCAGCTCCCACATGTGTCTTCCAGCTCTCACTCAAATGCTGCTGCACTTTGGATTAATCTGCACTGCAGTGAAAAACCTGGCAGCAGTGGATCTCCGAGACTAGGTCTACAGATGTGGGTTTGCACTATGGTGCTAAAAGTAGCTGTGTAGGGTTCCCCCTTGCCTCTAAAGCCCACCTTCCATACCAAGTTTCAGAGCCCGGAGCAGGAGCCTTCACATAGCGATTTTTAGCATATACCATGTTAACCTAAGCACCGAGACTCTCTGCTGCTGGACTTTTATTTTTTAATCTTAGTTGTTTGCAGTCTTGACTTACTCTCACTTGCCTGATAGGACTTGGTCCTTAAATCTCATCTTGTTGAATGATTGAGAGTATGGCTAAGATGAGTAAAGAGAACTGGGTTTTGAGATTCTCCATCTAGTTAGCTATTGTAGAAGTTAACAGTTAAAATTCTAACAAGTTAATTATACTAGGAGTATAAATGTTTCTCATAATTTTTTTTTCTAATTTAACACATTAATTTTTAAAAACTTCAAAATAGTACTGTTCCTCTTGTTTGGAGTTAATTGTCTGTAGTGCTGTGTATATGGATAAAATCATACTAGATTTAACTTAAATGCTTTCTATTCTTATTTTTGGATGAGCCAAGAAGTCTGCAAATAAACTTGCTAATGAAACGTCATTGAAATCTCACCTAGTCATCAGTTGAAATATATAGTTAATTTTCCATTGTTGCTTACAATTTGGTTGTGTTACTCAGGGATGTAAAATCCAGTTGAATTGTTTAGCCAGATAAACATCATGTTTAGCCAGTAACCCAGCTGAAGAGGAACAGGCGAGGGGTGGGGGCATTCTCCATCCTGGCTGGGCTGGAGGGGCATCCCCCTGCCTCAGACAGGCTGCCCTGCCGCAGACAGGCTGCTCTGGCCAAGTTGGAGCGGCCCTGTTTGCAGCAGGCCTTGCGAAGCTGGAGCATCCTCTGCATATGACAGGTAGGGAGTTGCTCCTGCCCCACCAGTTAATTGGAACCAATAAGCATCGCCTGCTAAGGGGTAATGCTTACTGGTTAAACTTTCATATCCCTAGCGTTAAACGCATTTTTTTCAAACTCTTCCTTGAGAAGTATGAATCTGATATTTGATGACTGAAAATTTGCCTGCTATTCGTTTAATTCTATTTCACAACTGTTATTGTGGGAACTTACAATCTGAAAACAGCTGAAAGAGTCTGACAAAACACTGTCTTCTGAACACTCTTGCCTCAATGAATTTCTAAATGTTGGTAATGAAAAGCTTTTTCCATGAATAATGATGATACAAATTGCACATTTTAAGGCAGAATAATAGTTCTTTCACCATCCTCCTTTAAGCGTCATACATTTAAAAGTTAGATCTTCTGACTTCCATCTGTATGTTCTTGTTACTTTTAACCAGGTAAGTGTTAGAAATAATTTGATGTTTTCAAACCGCCTTTATATTGGGATCTTAGTTTGGATCCTTCATATAGAATATTCCAGCAAGGGGCAACCTAGCCTAGTGAATGGGCCACATAAGTGGCTTTTCTTCATTTGAGTGGGGTCACAAGATTGTCATAACCTAGATGATCTCCCAGGATATGGTAGGTCTGTTAACTGCTCTTTCATACCTACAAGTTATAGGGTATGCTGATTGAACCATAGCAGCACTTCTGATTTGTCTGCATCCAATCGCACTTACCTCACTTCACATGCCCTCATAGCTTTTCAAAGACACAGTGGGGTAGTTTGGTGTGTCTCCTTTACCTATTTGAAATTTCCCCTTTGGAGCTGATGCATGTTGCAGCTGTGTGTGTATTATATGCATATAATCTATTTTAAACATCACTTGATTTGCATATTTCTGGACTGATATATTCTGTTATGCTTCTGTGTGTTTTTAGGTTTACTAAAAGAAGTAGAATTTTTAGCAAAAGAGAAATTAGAACTGCAGTGCCAGGCAGAGAAAGACCATTCTAGCTTGCGCTCTCAAATGAAGGTTTTGGAAGTGGAACTCGAAGAACAGATGCATCAAAATCAGATGTTGGCAAAGAAGTCATTGGAGGTTACTGATCTAAGGCAGCAAATTCAAGTTCTTGAAAAACAGCTTAGAAATCAACGTCAGTTCATGAATGTAAGCAAGCTCAACACCGAATTCCTGCAGCTTTTGAGAGGAAAAACACTTCCTCCTATTTTGTGACCAGTCTTCCAGGATAGTTTTGGTTTTATCAGAAATAAAACCTTTGTGTTTCTCCTTGTAAAACCAAGGATGGGTGATCATTTTAAAAAGTTTTCTGATGTAAAGGAGTATCTAGAATAGCTTTTTCTTTGCAAGTTTCTAGTGCTCATTTGTTCAGAAAATTGAAATAATTATTTCCCACTGTCCTATAAATCTGTACCTGGCTTCTAGAACTGCCATGCAAAGGGAAGTTCTAGAAAAGGTAAATGCAAATATCACGTTCCTCATAATAAAAAGGAAAAAATTGTTCACCTTACTTTGTCAATAGGAGCAAGCTATAGAGCGAGAACATGAACGTGATGAGTTTCAGCAAGAAATTCAGAAACTAGAAGAGCAGTTAAAACTGTCAGGAAAATCTCAAACTTCAGGAGAACCCAGACAATATGGGGTAGGTAAAACCACATGTAGTGACTGTGTATATTTTAGTTTATTGTATTTATGTAGTAAATATCCAAATGTAAATCTATTTGTGGCAATCTGTGGGTTTCATTGTTGAATATCACATTTTATACAATCATGTACTCAAGTATTAGAAGAAATCCAGAGTATTGAATTAATCGACTTTGACTGAAATAGTATTTTGCTACCATGAGTCTTGGCATATATTTTAATTTTGGTTTTGTTAGTAAGGTTGCAAGAAATAGTATGTTTTAGTGTATTACAGTAAAGCGTTGCCAGCATATCAGGTTGGTTTGATTTAGAGAGAGCAAAATCCTGACATTTAAAATACTGGCATCTGTATTTTTTTCAGATGCTTATTAGTTTGATAATAAATTAAAGAATTTAATTTTTGTTTCTGTGTTTTTTTTTCTCTCACATAAATGAACATTACAGATCTTTGAATTGACTCTGCAGGTATGGAAAATAGCATGAGTATCCTCATGTAATTTCTCTCTTCTCCCTCAATTTCTTGTGTTTAATCAGCTCTGCTTTGCTTTTTTACCTTCCATGAATGTCTAGTCCTCATAAGGCTTCAGCTTGATTAAATGTAGGGGTTCATAATTAATTTTGTCCAACTCTTAATCTGGAAAAATGCTTTTTATTTAACTTCCTATTTCTATCTACTTTGCTTTTCTGGCTTGCTTTGACCAAATGCATCCTCATGTAATTGCTCTTGTAAATCTTTTTTTTCTTCTAATACCCACTGTGAATAGAAAACTTCAACTTTTGGGAAATAAGCAGCATGGAATCATTATCACCTATGCCTCACCTGTATGGGCTATTCATGTCTTCAGTCTTCACATGTTTTGTGTTTATATGGTTGTGATGTTACCAACTTCATTTCTAACTCTTCATTTGTATTAAGTCTATAGAATTCTAACCCTTTAAATGTTACATGGTAGAAAAATAAACTCCTTATAAACACGTTCTCAGGCAAGTGGATTTTTCAAGACAAACTCACAAATAATTTGTCAACATCAGTGTATAGTATCCAAAAGCTTAAGGTAGTTTGACTTCCTGTTTATCATCTTAGGAGTTGTAGCTGTTTCATTTTCCCTTTACCTGAGCATAATATGTAAGACATAAATATGATACATTTTTATATTTAGAAAATCTTGCCAACAGAGAGAGAAACTCTTTTGTAAACATATTTCAGCAAAGGGTAGAGAAAAGTTTAAGATGAGCTTAAGTTATATCTTTATCTGTATTTAAGGTTTGCATGTCAAGTAGCTTATTTATCTTAAGCTATTTTTGTGTGGGTTTAATTTCCCTCCTTCAAAGACATGTTTCTGGTCTGTTCTCTACTTAAGTTTCTGGTAATCATAAGATTATAAAAATAAGCGCAGGCAAAATGACAAGCATTCTAGTAGCAGTTGAAAAATATCCTTGTTTACAATCAAAGCAGTTACACTGAGTTTTTGAACAGCATTTTACTCACTAATAAAACAGCACATGTAGCGATGAGGAAATAATGAGACTTTTAAAAATTAGGTTATTTGCTGTTCTGAACATTTGCAACCTAAATAAAAAAAAAAAGTTTACTGTGTATTGGATTAGTTTTGGATTCCTGAGGAAGAACATCAGGGATGAATGCGAAAGGTATGGGAGACGGTGAGCACTTGAAACGGGCAATATTTGTGGATAATCTGAAGTGAGTTTTGTGATCAATACCAGATCGAAGAGCAAGGACCTAGGTCAGGGGTGGGCAATAATTTTTGGCCAAGGGCCACTTCAAAAAGTTTTGAAGTATTCCCGGGCCACCTGGAAGGGTCTGGGCCTAAACCAGAAAAGGCGGGGCCAGTATGCTTCCGGGCTACCCCACCCACAGACCATGATTGGTTTGAGGGTGGATGGGGGAGCCCCTTTGCCCCTTCCCACTTGGCACCCCCACTGTGCCCTGCCGTGTGCTCCTCCCAGGGTGGGGGTAGGGCGGGAGAAGGCTTTGGGTGCTCCCCTGTCCCCAGGCCAATCGGCCTGGAGGTGGGGGAGCGCTCAAAGCCGCCTCCTACCCTGCAAGGAGCATGTGGCGCTTTGATGTGCCGAGTGTTCCTCACAGCACCGGGGCAGGGCGAAGGAAGTTTTGCGCAGTTCCCCTGCCCCCATGCCTTGATTGGCCTGTGGGCATGGGGAGCGCCTGACGCCTCCTCCCACCTTACTCCTCCCTGTGAGGTGCACGCGGCACTTCAAAGTGCCGTGTGCTCCTCGCAGAGCGGGAGGAAGTTTCGCTTGCTCCCCCCACCCCCAGGTCCTGATTGGCTTGGGGACAAGGGAGTGGCAGATCAACCCACTTGGCAGGCCGGATCTGGCCTGTGGAGGCCCTTTTGCCCACCCCAGATCTAGGTAGTAGTTATGCAGTCACTTGGAAGTGAACATGTGGCTGGAGGACTGTGTATAGCACACGTGCGCTGTGACTGGCTGACAATTCCTCTACAGTACAATCGCCTGAAGTTCTTGTTCTCTGAACATAATCACTGTAAGGGATCCACATTTGTGCACTTGCTCAACTGCTATAATTGGGGAATATGTAATAAGGCTATTTTTTTGGTCGGGGGAATAGCCAGTTGGTGAGCAGTGCCACCATCTCCGGGCTTGGGGAAGGTTGTGGAAGTGTTTGTTTCCTTCCTGCCAGCATCATAACAGTGGAGTTACTGGAACACGGCATTTTAACAAATTATAGTAGAAGAATGTGTCTCAGAAATAGAGGTTTCCTAACCAAGGCGCCCCAAAAACAATCACATGTTGCCTTTGCCTCCATCCTTGTCCCATCTGGAGCAGAGACCAGGTGAGGGGCTGCAGCTTTGGAGGGAAGGAGGAGGACATGGACTGGAATAAGGGGGCTGAGGCTGGGTTTGCAGAGTGGGCTCCCTCCCTTCCCCCCGAGGGAGCTGGTCTAGGCGTCCTGAATATTCATCTGTTCTTCCGTAGCGGTACACCCCTTGTTTGGAGACTTCTGTCCTAACCTCTTGTGTCTTGATGAATTAAGCAAATCATTTTGACCAAAATGTTGTGAAATAATCAGTGTTAGGGAAAGTGTTGCTCTTTTATGCAGATGGTATTCCAAAGCTTTTCTGTGATATTAAAATAGACTTAAGTTATGATTGATTCTTGAGTAATAGCTTATGGAATAGGAAGGAGATAAACAAAAATGAAATCCTGGTGGGGTCCATTCAGCCAAAAACCAAAAAAATTGTTATTTTTAACAGATTCATAGTACTTCTATTTCCAGGAGCTTTTGTTACATTAATGTACTGTTGTTTTGTTTAATATTTACAGCAAACATATGGCTTTTTAACAGGTACCATCTTCTGAGAGTGTGTTTTACAGGTGGTTCTTTTTAATCTTAATTCTATTTCCAGTTGGTGTCTGATAACTAGTGGTGACTAATGTGAAATTCTGGGGCTGCAAATAATTTATTTTTAGGATTAGCCACAGAATGAATATTTCCTTTCTGTAGAAAGATTTAATGGCTCTTATATTTGTTGCATCTATATAATATCTTTGTTTTGCTGTGTAGATAGAGTCTTTGCAAGCAGAAATAAAAGAGAAAACGGATGATTATGATAAGCTGTTATTAGAAAAGGAGCAGAAATACCGAGAAGCTACATTTCGAGATCAAGAAATAAAGGAGCTAGAAGAGCGGATTAGAGAGCTGGAGCGTACCAATACTGAGGCCTCAAAGACTGTCAGCCGTTTGGAACAAGAACTGCAAAAAATGAAGAAAATGGAAACTGAATTAACACAAGTAATCCTTTTTCAATTTATTTTTAAAGTGGAGTGTATGAGTGGAGGGTAATTTAGGGGTTGTAGCTATCAATTCCTTATGGTCTTTTTAACTACTCCAGCTATGCCAGGCCATGCCTTCCTTGCCTTGGCTTGTGTTGCCAGGGAGAAATGTATATAGATCCCCAATGTCTGTTCTTCCATCAGACCTTAAGAAGAGCTCTGTTCGTAGCTCACCTGTTTGACCAACAGAAATTGGTCCAATAAAAGATATTCCCTAACCCATTTTGTCTCTTCTATCAGCTGTCTTGTATCAATTACGAGTATTATATAATGAATATGTGTGTGTCACATTTTTTTGGGCTTGTTCCTTTGTGGGATCTGAGTAGGGGTTTTTTTTCAGTTCTGGTTCTTGAAGCTTTTCAGGATGAGGAAAAGTGTCGTCTTATGTTACCTTTATTATCCAAGTTTTTATCAAATTTATGTAAAGAAGCTAATATCACTCCTTTCTTAGAACTGTGTGTATTGAGACTCTGGTATGCTAGATCTATCAGTGAGGAAGGGGTTTGCTAAGCCAGAGATAGATTGCCTCTATCCGAAGTTTTTTCTCTTCAGTTCCCCATACACCATATGGAATACAAGTTTTACCTCATGGGTGTTCTTGAACCTGGACTATGTAATGAAAATGCTTTTGATGGAAAAGAATGATTGAGAGAGGACCAGATCAAAGCTAAAAGGAAAATTCCAAGAAAATAAAAGCATGGAAAGAGACTACTGTAGTCTTCATTAAAAACTTTCATTAAAAAGGCTTTGTTGTGTTACCTTTTCAGCTACACACTTAAGATTTTTGACAACACATGTTACTTTGTTCTCCCACAGTCTCATTTATACTTTCAAATTCAGCTACACTGGGCAAAATAACTTTCCTTTCTTAAAGCCACTTCACCTCTGCGAATAAAAATGCTGCCCACAATAAATGAAATACAGGTTGAACCTCTCTAGTCCAGCATCCTGGGATCTGACTGGTGCCCAACCAGGGAACTTGCCGAGTCATGGGAGGGCAATATCATTGAGCAGCATTACTAACATTGTCACAGCTTACTGGGCTCTTACAACACATTTACGGGTAATTTTTAAACAGTCTGGAGCATTGGGGAGGTTCCCTGGTACTGGTATAACTAAATATAGGTATGTCTGTCTAGGATCAAAGAACATGGGCCATACTTAGAAGATTGGAGACTCTAATTTTAGGAAACTGTGATTGAAAAAAATTGGGTGTTGCGGTTGATCATCAGCAGAACATGAGCTCCTGGTTTGACACGGAGACCAGAAGAACTCATGCAATCCTGGGATCTATTAGCAGGGGAATCTTGAGTAGGAGTTGACAAGTTATTTTATTTTTGTATTTGACATTGGTGCAATTGCTGCTGAAATACTGTGTCTGATTCTAGTGCCCAGTATTGTCAGATTGGAAAGTCTTAAGGGAAGAGGCACAAGAATGATTAAAGGATTACAGTGATAGACTTAAAGAGCTCAATCTATGTAACTCTACAAAGAGAAGATTAAGGAATGATGTAATTACCACCTATAAGTATTTCTCACAGGATTGTTCTCTCTACATATGCATGTGCATTAATTATAATAATTCTTAAAGCTAAAACGCTTGTTTTGCAGGATAAAGAGGCATTGCAACAGCAGCAATACAATAATTTGATCCAGATCTCTGCCCTGCAGTCCAAGCTGGATGAAACCAGGCATAGAGTTCCTATGGAAGGCAGTCCTGATCATGGACTAAAGGAACAGTTACAGGTAGAGCAGGAAGCACTCCAAATGAAGGAAGGAGAGGTAAATCTGAAACAAACATTTGTTGTTAAATCTAGAATCTGAGATTACTCAAGTCACTTAACCCCCACCACCAGCTCTCCCCCCCCCCAACCCCTCCAAACCTTTATGTAAAATGATGTCTGAGCATTTAATCCATTAAAAATAAGGAAGTTCGTGATTGTTGCATCAACTGTACCTCACTGGATATTTTTACACTTTTATTCTTTCACTATTTCTGTAGGTTCTTGACTTTAATTATCATTAATGATGACTGGGCCAATAATTAGGCCCAATCTCATAATCTAAATTATGGATCCTTTGTGGGATCACATTTTACTCTCTCCTTCCACCTTCCAACTTTTGTTTGAAATAAAAAACAGGACGGTGTAGCACTTTAAAGACTAAACTTTTGTTTGGCTGCATATTGCCTAATTTGGAAAGCAAGCACTATTAGGGATACTCCAAAGTTAAACCTCTATTGAGGTTTTTTCCTGCCATTTCTCAGTTCCACAATTCATTGCTGAAAGTGCCCAAAACTGTGCTTGGAAGCCAGAGAAGTATAACTGTAGTGATGAGTGTCTGTGCATCCGTTCCCCATCTTTAAACATGGGGTATAATGCTTCCCTACCAAACTGAGGTACTGTGGATAAATACATTCAAAGATGGTAAGTGCTCTGCAATGTGCTAAGGAATGACATTACGTGGGAAATAGTCTTTATTATATAAACTATTCCTGTCACACTGTGTATGCATTTTTGTGCAAAAGAAGTGCCTCTCGCATGTGCCAGACACCAGTTATAAGACTTTTTAAAATAACCCTTACTTCGAAGCACATTCTAACATGAAAAATTTGGAGTTCAATGTTGGTTCCTGCCAAGTTTGTAGGTTCTTAATCATGGAGAAATATGTAGTAGAAGAATCACCATTTTACAGATGCAAAGATGAAGTTGAGGGTCAAGTGACATAAATACAATGATGGTGCTAGTTTCCAGGCTGAATTTGGAAGTTTGATCCCATTCTGGGTGTTAAGATACTGGAATCTTCCTCTCCCTTTTGTCTCTAATATCATATTTATCTAGGTTCTATTTAAATAGTTTGGTCGCGATGGAATTGGCTATATTTACTTGTTCTGAATAAAGCAATATGAAATATCAATCTTTAAGTAAAGGAACCTATAATGTGTTTCTGTGTTTTAGATCGTATGTTTGTTAGAACAGCTAGAACAGTTGAAAGAGAACTTGATTAACAAAAGTGAGGAAATCTTGCGGCTGAACGTGCAGTTAGAGATACATAAAAATCTTGCGACTAGCAGTGGCCAGCTTCAAATAGAGAATGCTCATTTGAAGGTATGTTGAACCATTTAACTTTACTCTAACTACAGTAAACTATGCCTTAGAGATTACCCATTGTCAGCCACTTCTTGCAGGGGCCCTGGGACAGCACTGGTTTCCAGTGTACAAACATTTGAAAAGTGATTGCACCTTGAGAGAGGCACAGTGACTGTCCACAGATTTCAGGGGGTGGTACTGATACTCTGACTCTGATCCTGTCCTGAGCTCTGCATGGGCACAGGTTTTCACTGCACAGTCATGTTCTTTGGTATGCCAATTTTTAAATGCAGAGTTCGTATAGTTGGCCACCGTTGTTAGAAATCAGTTTCTGGTAATAATTTGTGTCAGTAGTCATTGAAATTATCCTAGGATTGGACTGAGTATACCTAGACAACCTCTGATAGGTGTTTGTCTAATCTGCTCTTACCAACTTCCAATGATGGAGATCCCTCAACTTCCCTTGGTAGCCTATTACAGTACTTAACTACTATTGGAGCTAAGAAATTTTCTATAATATTTTATGTTAATCCCCCTTGTTGAAGATTTAGTTTATTAATTATTAGTTGTCCTGCTCTCAGTGGACATGGAGAACAACTGATCATCATCCTCTTCATAGCTGCACATAATTGAAGATTATCATATCTCTTGCAGTCTTCTTTTCCTAAGACTCAACATGCCCAATTTTTTCAGCCTTTCTCCATAGTCCAGGCTTACTAAATTTTCGTTGGTCTTCTCTGAACTCTTCTAATTTCTCCACCTCCTTTCTAAAGTGTGGGACCCAAAATTGGACACCAAACCCCAGCTCAGGCTTCACCAGTGCTGAGTGGGGGACAGGTGCATCCTGTGTCTTGCATCTGACACTCCTGTTAATATGCACCAGGAGGATATTTGCTTTTTTCAAAATTGTATCATACTATTAGGTCATATTCAGTTTGAGATTCATGATAGCCCCCAGATCCTTTTCTTCAGGACTAAGTGCCTAGCCAGTAATTTCCCATTTTGTAGCTATGCATTTGATTTTTCCTTCCTAAATGAAGTACTTGGCACTTTGCTTTATTGAATTTAATCTTGTTGATTTGAGATCAATTCTCTATTTTTCAAGGTTACTTGAATTCTAATCCCGGTCTTTCAATAGTTTGTAATTTTTCATTTTCATAGTTTGTAAATGTGCTCTCTGCTCCATTATCTAGGTTGTTAATATAAATATTTAATAGTCCCGGAGACAAGGCAGACCCCTTTAGGACCCCACTAAATATGTTTTTCTGGTTTGCCAGCAAATCAATGATAACTATAATGCTGATGTTTTGTGACACTGCTGTAGTATTTACCAGGATGATGAAATCATATTTTGTTCTTTTAAAAGAGAGCTTTACTGTGAGTTTTCATTTCCTGACCTTGACAGCCATGTCAATAAATAAGCCACATTATAGAACTGATCTGCAGTCAATTGAGTTATTTTATAGTCCAACATTTTTCCTCGGTACTGGATAATTCATCCTGGCATCTTAATCATTAGACATCAGGACTCAAAAATCCAGTGGAAGTCATAGTTTAAAAAAAAAAAAAAAACCTAGATGAGACGTAGAGAGGAAATTGGAGAAAATCGGTTTCAGTAGTAAGGGTGTAATCAGAATAGTTTGGCAAAAAAAGAAGTTGCTTAATAGTGTTAATTGTTTTGACTATGTAGGACTTAAAAAAAAAAATCAAAGGTTGAACCTCTTCGGTCTGGTAATCTGTGGCCCACTTGGATATTGCCGGACCAGAGAGCCCCAGAAGGCCAGTGGCAGAGAGCAGAGACAGGAGCCTGGGGTTGGCTGTGGGGCCCAGAAGCCTGGCCTGCGACAGACGCCAGCCAACAGGAGGGGAGGGGAGCGCAGCCACATCTGCTGATGGACTCTGGGAGAGACTAGTGTCTGTCCAGAGAGAGGCTGGAATTGATCCCCTGTGCTCTGGCAAACTCCTCCTTTGGGACTGATGAGGTCCTGAGGGTGTCAGACCAGCAGGTCCAGTCTGTACTGACAAAAAATCAGCAACACTTTGCCATCGCTTTATAAGCAGGACAGTAATTTTATAATTCACATTGTTTCTTGTTTTCAATCAGGAGGACCTAGCAAAGCTCCGCGTGATGCAAAGTCAGAAATGGGGTAATAGTGAATCAGCAGTTTTGCAGTTCCCACAGGCTTTGCTTGAGGAAAAGAATCAAGAAATTGATCATTTAAATGAGCAGATTGAGAGGCTCCAGCGTGAGCTAGATGGTGCCACAGACAATAAGGTGAAAATGTTTTGGAGATATTGTTTTCCCCCTTCTCTCATGCCTCTGGGGCGCTGGACCTCCACACTTACCTACTTCAGTCCCTCCCTCCCAGCACTTTTGGAGCCCGGTGAATTCGCTGATTCATGCTCTAACCTCCCTCACTCCTTTCCTCCCAGAGTGTGAATACTGCAAATCAACTACCCAAGTACCTGATAAGCATTACGTTGACTGGAATACATACCGGAGAGCTGGTTAGACAGCCTGCTGCCCTACACTGGCGTGGCCTTGGCTGCATTGGGCTGGCTGGCTTGGCTGCATCGTGGCTGTGTTGGAGCTGTGTCTGTGTCGGGGTGGGTGGGTGGGGCCCTGGCGGGGCTGGAGCGGCCTGGGCAGACAGGTGGGACTGCAGAAACATGGTTCCGGTGGGCATTTGGCCTCAATGTTGGGGCAACAGGCAGGACTCCGGCCACACCAGAGTGGCCTGGGAGGGCCTGCAGAACCCATCCCAGCTGCCATCCACTAGCCTGCCAACGGTTAACTGGTTAAATAATACAATTGTAATTGTTTCACCAGTTCACTATTTTAAAGGATAAATACATCCCTGAAATGAACGTGCTCATCAAAACTTGTACTGGGACAAGACTAGTGGTTAAACTCCCATCCTGTGGATGTCAACCTTAACAAAAGGGATCACTCCTCATCTTGCCACATCTTCTCCATAATCTAGAAAAACCTGCAGTAGAGAGTAATTGTTGCTTAGAAGATTGCATTGTGACTTGTGGCGCTCTGAGAGAATAGTGCATTAAACAGCACTTTCCTTCCCCTTAAACATACCTGACAAAAATACCTTGGTAGTACAGAGTACAGCAGTTCAAATTGTAAGCTGTAGAGGGGTGAGGGGTGGCTACATGGAGCTGTCTAGGAAGATTTCCCATCCCAAAGATGCGTTTTCAGAGGTGTTGTTTTTTACCCTCTCTCCTGTGACACATGTTGCTCAGGGGAGAAGCTGCTTAATTCTTAGTCTTGAAGTTAAGCGGTTGTTGAAAATACATGTGTTTCCGTTAAATTATTCTAAAATCAAATGTTACAAAAACCCCTTTTCAAAACGCTAGTGAGTATTATGCCGTTGGATAGTACATGTTTTGTTAATACTTAAAAATAAATATTTAGCTCTCCAGAGTCCTGATTTTTCAGCAGCCAGAAAGGGAAGGAAAATTGAACTTCTAAAAGTGAGCACACTTAACAATGAAGTGATTGTGATAATTTCATTTTGGGGGACAGGGTGGAGTTGTCCCTGAAACCCAGGTCCTCAGACAACCTTTTTTGGGGAAGATGAGTGGCCCCACCCTTTCCAGCTGTGAGAGGGAGAGTAGTGCCCTTCTCATCATGGAATGTATTTGGGGCAGGAGCATTGTCTATATAATGAAGTTAGTGTTTTAGCTTCAAGATAAAAGGTAAAGTTTTCAAGCCTCGCCTTTATTAAATGTTTTATTGACTGGCTGCTTGAAGATGTGGTCCTTCGAGTAATTGCAGTAGCATGTAAGTTGCTTTAGTAAATTAACTTTTTAATGGTGCGAATTCAACAAAAGTAACTTTGTATATCCATTGGCATTTTGGTCTTGTTCTTTCTCTCAGGTCATGGAAAATGGAAAATCTGAAATCGCTGAACTCAGGTTACTTGTTGAGCACCTTCGTGGTGACCAGGAACGACTGCATAGGGATAAAGCAGAAGAGGTAGAGCAGCTTCATGGAGTAATTGAGAAGCTTCAAAAGGAACTGATACAACTTGGGCCTATCTGTCGTGAAGTTAGTGATAGTCAAGAAAGCCTTAACCTGCTTAAATTGGAGGAGCAGGCAGAGAACCTTCACAGTGAACTGAAGAAAGGATCACTAGACATTCAGGAGCATTCAGATAAGAATAAGAATACTGTGTTGCTACCTTCCAACCTGAAGGAGATTCAGGAAGAACTAGAACTTGTCTCTTCTGCTAGAGAAGCCCTGCAGCAGCTACTTGAAGAGAAGGAAGCTCAGTTTAAAATGGAAATAGAAATTTTAGAAGAGAGCCTTCAAAGCAGCCAGGAGTCTTCAAGGCAGCATTTTGCAGAGTTAGCATCCCTAAGAATACAATATGATGCACTACAGGAGGAGTACAACTTTCTAAGAACACACCTCTCCCAAAGTGATGGTGAAATGGAGATTATGTCCACTCGCATTCAAGAACTTGAAGGTACATTGAAAGCAAGAGAAGCAACTCTTTTAGAGAGAGATCTGAAGATCAAGACAGTAGCAGAGCAGAGAGTAGTAGAGACAGCTGAATTACAGCACCTAGCAGAGAAAATTGCAATACTTGAAGATGAATTGTTAAAAAAAGATGTGTATCAGAAAACTGAGGCTGAAAAAGTTCACACTCTTCAGTCAGAAATCTCCAGGCTTGTTTTCAAGGTTCAAACAGTGAATCAAAAAGAAGTGGTTTACCAGAGAGAAATAGATGAACTTCAAGCAAATTCTACAAAACTGAAAGATCAGATCCAGGAGTATTTGAAAGAACTCAGTGTCCTGAGCTCTGAAAGAGATGACCTTTATTCACAGCTGGAATCTTTCAAAGAAAAGGAGCCATGTAATGATCAAGAAGCTAAACTTCATAAACTGGTCTTAAAACAAGAAAGAGGCATTCAGGTTCATACAAAAGGAATGGAGAAAGTGGGAGAAGAAATTGAAGCAAATACTGAGCAGTTATTTGCAGCTGTGGTTTCCCAAAGTGATAAATCGGTGTGCATTATTATTTTACCAACTTATTTTAAATGTTAGAGTTAAGTCTTCTCTGATGTAGTGCATTTGTATTTCTTTCTCTGGGAGTGCATCTATACTGCGCCGTTAGCTTGAAATAAGATATGCAATTTGAGCTATGCAAATTGCGTAGCTTATTTTGAGTTAATTTTGAAATAGCTTATTTCATAATTTTCTGCTGTCTACACAGCACCAAATTTCAAAATAAGCCACTATTCTGAAATGTCCCTTACTCTTCGTGGAATGAGGTCAACAGAAACGTCAGAATAGCAAGCCCATTATATTTCGAAGTAAAAGATGCTTCAGAGATGTGGAATAGCTATTTTGGGATACCGGAAGTATCCCAAAATAGTGCCACAGTGCAGACGTACACTGGGTGAGTCTAAAAGTTAAATTGTAAAGTGATATGTTTAACTCTGATTCTAGGCATCAACTAGTATTAAATTCATTGGTCTGATGATGCTAGTGCAGTAGTTGTCACTGCATAAAACATGTAGATTGAGCTATTTGGTGCTTTCACTAAGGACACAGTTTCCTGTGGTGGTAAGTTTCCTTCATCATTCTCCATTTTAATAAAGGATGAAGGTAAATATTTTGAGCACCAATAGTGTGAACATAGATAAGCTGAAGAGATCAACATTGCGATACATGAATGCTTGTGTTGTGGTAGTCTTGGAAAGCTACTTAACAACTTTTTGGTAGCTTTTTTTCTAAAATTTGAGACAGGCAAAAAACTGTGAGGACACATCACCAAAGTTCCCTTTTCTCCTTCTGTGTAGAATTAGTTGATTAGAGAAGATCATTTGATATCAGTCTATTTAATTAGATGTCCTAACCTGGAGAGCACTTCTCTGGAGCATGTTTTGCTTTGCTTCCTGGTTAAGGGATGGAATATAGCAAAGAATTCTAAATGGTATCAGAACTATGCATAGCAAACCTGCTCTGGTTAAGCACTTGTGTAGAGTGAATGGACATACTGTGTGGAGACCTTTTTGTGCTTTGGGGAGCCCACTTAGAAAGGACTATACTCGTATAGATTGCCAGGGAAGAAGCTTTCTTTAGACCAGATGCTAGTTATGTTCTGACATTATTACAATCTCTAAAATGTCCAATTCAGGGCAAAAAAAATAGATTTAAACAAAATAACTAGAGCATTAATTAAACCACTAGTGATACAAAACATACACATGCACACCTGTTGTGATGTCATAAAACATTATAGTTACATCATACTACTTTAACATGTTACTTAGTGCAAATATCAGAAGGGTATACAGCTCATTACTAGTTGAGAAATTACTCTGTTAATATCATTTGGAGTAGTGAGGGTAGTTAGGCTTTTGTAGCTTAATGCTAGACTAGTAAGGCTTTTGTAGCTTAACACTGAGATGGCAATAGTGAATTTAACTAGACTTCACTGATGTTGCGTTCCTGTTTTCTTCAGGTACACACTGGACATGATAATCACTAATACAGCCTGAAATTGCTTTTCATGCTTCTGTACCATGGCTCCGCACCTTCTTAAGTAGTTATAGGAAGTATTCATCCTTAAGTCAAGCAAATGTTTTCATAGTTATTTGTATTACATAAATGATTAGGGTTCTTAACTGAGATCAGTACTCCATTGTGCTAGGCTCTATACAAGCATCTGGTATGATTGTTACAGAGGACTTAGATGTACAGATAGATGGAGAGATACAGAGAGTAGGTGGGGAAACAGAGGCACAGCGAGGTGAAGTGACATTGTAGAATATGTCACAGCAGATCAGGCTTCCTGGTTCCATCTTTTTTCCAAACCACTAGACCACATGGCCTGTCCGAATTTACTTAGTATTAGAGAGGGTAATTGTTTTATACAGCTATGCGTAATGCATGTGTTTTATTCTTCTCTTCATATCTTTATTGTAATGAGTGATTTCATAAATAGCAAACCTGCATTCTGGCATCAACATGGAAGGTAGTGTTGCTACTGCTATCTGACGTAGGACTATAATTATTTGATCTCAAGTTGGTATTGGTAAACATTACTAAAAGCTCAAATTGTTTATGGTATTGTGCTAAACACATTGCGTGGGTTTATAAGTAGAACCACACAGACTGTACTGAAGCAAGTGTGGTAAAATCCTCCCCTAATGTGAAGTGTATCTGTCCTCATCCTCTGCCTTGTGTAACATAAATAGATAAAATAATAACTTCAAACACATTTTTGTTTAATCCCCATAAATTACCAACACTTGGATAGGAATATTGTTGTTTATGGGAAGTTGACTCTTTTTTTTAAAATGACAATTGTTGTTGATGCTTGGATAGGAATTCCAAAAGTGACAGAAAATAAAATCCCATCAATATGGAAATAGCTCACTTTTTAAAAGAGCAACCCACATTTTTTTCTTTTAAAGATTCTAGTACAGTTAGAGGCTACAGACACTTCAGAACATCACAAAGATCTAATTGCGAAGATGACATTGCATCAGGAAGAACTGAAGTCTGAATTAGACTGTGTGAAAAAGCAATTGGAATTAAGTGAAGAACAGAGGGATAAATTCCTGGAAGACATACAGGTATGTTGGAATAGTAATTAGGTAGATGGGACCAAGAGCTGATTGGGCACTTTTTCCATCATTACCACTTCCAAACAGCTGAGAAACCCTGCAGCCAGTCTGTGCACAGTGCACTTGGCTGAGGATTTGCACCCAAGGCAATTTGGTTACAGGAGATTTGAATCATAGAAACTAGAACTGGAAGGGACATTACTAAGTGCAGCCTGCTGTGCGTGGGCAAGACCAAGTACACCTGCTGCATTCCTGTTTAGAGCTCTAAAGGGTTAAACAGTTAAATGGTTATTTGATATGCATTAGGTTTACTAGCATGCTTACCTGGTAACTGATAAACCAGAGGGCTAGGCCGGCAGGATCAGCCCTCTCGGCCACAGGACCCCGGCCACAGTGGCTCCAGCAGGGCCAGAGCAGCCTGTTGCCCATGGAAGGCTGGCTGTAGGACCCCTGCTGCTGGGGCCCACCAGCCCTCCATGGTTAACTGATTAAATGATTAAAATGAAATTGTTTAACCAGTTAACTTTTTTTACTGGATTTTTACATCCATATTCCTGATGGGGTTTTGTCCAACCTCCGATGCTGGGGATCCCAAAAGCTCCTTTGGAAATCTGTTCCAGAATTTAATTGCTTATGTAGTTGACAAGTGTTTCCTAGTATCTAACCTAAACCTCCCTTGCTGCAGATTAAGCTGATGATTTCTTGCCCTACCTTCAGTGACTAGGGGGCACAATTAATCAGCATCTGAATGTGACGTAGGTTTGTGTCAGAAGCTTAACTAGAATCACCATCTATTACATTTACTGCCTTCTCTCATTTACTAGGCCAGGAAACACGCGGAAGAAGGAAATTCAGCGGTTTGAAATTATTTGTTTGTGACCGACCCATGCAAGCTATTCCTTAGGACCCAGTTACCTTCTAGTGCAGAGTGGGCAAACTATGGCCTGGCCCACTAGACCCTTCTGTCCGGCCCCCGAGCGCCCAACCCCTTCCCTCCCCACTGCCTCAGCTTCCCAGTGTCTGGTTGGCGTGCTTTGCATCCTGCCAGCCCCAATACTTCGGGTGGCGTGGCTTCAGTGCTGCCCACCCCAGTGCTCCAGGTGGTCAGTTGCAGTAATGCCAGCTTCAGTATTCCAGGCGGTGTGGTCAGGGAGTGGAGAGCTGGGGTGGTTCCGGGGGGAGTGGTTGGGTTCAGAGAGGTTGGGCAGGGACTAGGCTATGCTTAGCTGTCTGGGGAGGCACAGCCTTCGCTAACTTGCTCTCCATATGCTTAATGAACCCCAATGTTGCCCTCAGGCCAAAAAGTTTGCTCACCCCTGCTCTAGCAGCTTATAATTGTTAAATAACTTGTTCCTGTAGCTTTCCATGAATCAGAGAATTATAGACCTGTCAGCCTAACTTGGAGTTCTCTTTGTGCTCCCTTTTAAAGATAGGGACTTTGTTTGCCCTTCTCCAGCTCTCGGGGGTCTCACCGTTCCTTGTGTATGGTGCCAAGAGTGCTTCTGGTAGTTCCTTAAGTATCCTAGGATAAATGTTATCAGGATGTGCCAGCTTGAAAACATCTAAAATATTTCAATCTTCCTTAACCTGTTCTTTCTCTGTTTTGGAATAAATTTAATTTTTTAATGACTAGTTCAGTTCTGTAGAACTGGGTGGGAAAGTCCCTTCTCTCCAGCATAAGCCCTGCTTCAGTGGAGATGTCATATAATGCAGTGGTAAATGTGTTTTGACATCTCTGCTTAAAAAATAGACATCCAACAAAAACCTGGCTAGCTCCATTTCACTATGCCAATGAAACCCAAATGGGATGTAATCTTTAAAAATGGCCACCAACAGTTCACTTTTTACATGTTGCTCTGTAGTGTACTAATAAAATAATGAACTGTATTAAATATTCCTTTTAACTACGATAGCTATTTTGAAAAGCAGATGCGTTCATTTATCGTCGCTTGCAGGTAATAGAAAAGCCAAAATGGCATGAGAAAATATGTTGAATTATTTCAGAGTTCTTGAAATCATAGCTAAGATTAATAACACATTTATTTTCTTTTAAAAAAAAATCTCAGAAGCTTAGTAATTTTTGCTCTTGTGGGAACTTTTATTTGAATTGAAAAAAAATGAATAGGTGTGTGTGTTGTTTCACTGTAGGAGAAGGAGGCAGCTATAGCGGACTTGAAGACTCACAGTGGAAATCTAAAAGCTCAGATTAAGCAACTGCAGGACACACTCCTGATTCAGAAAGCAGAGATGACAGACAAACCCAGAGAGGATCTGAAAAAGCAGTGTCAGCAAATCTTGGCATTTCATCAAACTCCAGACTCAATGAAATGCAAGTTGAACAATCTTTTACACAATACAGCGCATGCTGAAGAGACACCTCAAGACTTTGAAGGGTTAGTCATGGATATGACTTCATGGGACTCACCTGAGATTGTGAGAAAGCAGGAGACAAGCACTGAACTTCAACCAAGTCTTCACTTAACTCCCTTCTCGGAAGTTAATAGTGTACACAGCACAGACTTTGAAATGATGCCCAACAAATCATCTGTCATTGAAGGAGAAACACCTGGACTTTCGGGATATCCAAGTCTGTATGCTAATACCAATGAGGGGGCAGTGGCCAGACTAGATTTAAAGTCTCCAGCTTTGTCTGAAAGTACCTACTCAGGTGCTGAGTATCAAGATATGGAAAAAAGGATTCTGGTAATTATAATTTTTTAAAAACATTAAATATAAAATGCTTCCTTCCCTCCCCCTCCATAAGCTTTATTGCTGGGTCATGTGCTCTGTGTGTTCCCATGGAAACTAATATTGCTAAATGTACATCAAGAAGAAAGGATACTGTGTCATAGCAGTCATCTTTTATTTGTTCATTTCCTGGTTGGGGACAGTGAAGCATACTTTAGGCTGTATTGAAACATCATTTTACCACTGCTCTGTCTCTGTAAGTGAAAACAGTTTTCTCAAATCTAAATTGAAGTATAAGGCCCTCAAGGTAGAGAATGTCTTTCATCACGACTAGATGATTGCTGGAATATATATAACGGTAATAGGATATGGGTTCTTTTTTGGTGAACTTTCTGAAGTTCATGAATACCATGAATGCACCAAAAGTTCACAGCGATGGGACTCCGTTAGGCCTGGCAATTCAAAAGGGAAGGCCACAGTAAGATTGTGACTGTTTTAAATTCCAAATGTAATGAATTGCGTTCAAAGAAGAGTTTACCCGGTGTCATGGTAGTCTTTAACTTATTGCAACCGTTGTCTGCTGGTGAATATTTTTACTTGGTTTTTTAAAGATCGGTTTTGTTTGAGGAGTATCTTCTCAAATTGTTTCTCAGAAGGGTACCCGTATTAGTCTGTAACTTGAAAAATAAGTAGTCCTGTGGCACCTTACAGATGAACAATATATATATATATAATATAAAATCTCGTATCATGAGCTTTCGTGGGCAAAGTCCACTTCTTCCGATGAGCTTGATTATATTGTAATTTATATATTTTTTTAAAGTCGGCACTACCGATATTCTAGTGGTGCCAGCAGTATTCTAGGCTCTGTGCAATTGTATAAAAAGGCAAAGGCCATGCTCTAAATTACTTCTTGGAGGAATGATTTTAATTATGTATCTCCTGAGTTGTAATATACAGAGTTTATGGGAAACTGGTGTGGTATTGATAAACATGAGTCTCCCTCCCTCTACTTGGTGCAGTGAAATTGCATTACAGACCCAGCCTCATCCGCAAGTTCCACAGGAAGTTTCCTTTGGTAGAGTTTATTATTCATGATTGATAATATTATAATAATGCCTACAGTCTCTAACATAGGCTATAGTAGGCATGCTGCTCTGCATGCACTAGTAAGAGAGAGTCCCTGTCTTGAATCTCTCGTATCTAAATAGACAGGACAGGGAAAGGGTGGGAGAAAAGAAATATCTCAATTTTGAAGATGCGGAACTGAGATACAGAGAGCCTGATCCAATGTCTATTAAAATCAGTAGAAAGACTCCCAGTGATTGGCTGATCCAGGATCATGCAGGATGCCTGTGGCAACACTGGGAATTGAGCTGAGACCTCTTGAGTCCCAGTTCAGTGCCATGCCCATCAGAGCACTTTTCTTTGGAAAACAGTCATGATCAAACTTTCTGAATAGGCATCAGATTGCTTTTTTAATAACGATTTAATATTTAACTGAATGTGTAGTAATCAAATGGTAATTGCACAGTCTTTTTGTCAGCAGAAAAGCAGCTTTTTTTTTTTTAAATGAAAACTTTGTAATTTGGTGCATCTTGCAATGGTTTCAGAAACCTTAAATGTAAAATTTAAATTAAACATTCTACAGTTCCATTCACGAGATTATCCTAGGGAGTACAGGAGTCCCTGCAGTTATCTTATAACTTACCTTTCGTATTCTCTGCTCTCAAGAACAGAAGGCATTTTTTCAACGTTTTTTGTATAGGAGAGTAAAAGCATATGTTTAATATTATAGTTCCTGAATTCTCCCATAACTGACAAGTAGCTGAATGGGTTTTTCCCTAAATTTGCTCCCAAAATTCACATGTTGGCTAAGGCCAAGTATCCAAAGCTTTAGACCTAAAGGGAATTTTTAAAAGCTATTAGAACTAAGCGAAAATGGGTGGGAGAAGCTTACAAAGGAACTCTGTACATAGCCTTAATTATGACACATACTAGCATGAATACGGTAATTAATTTAATGTTTTGTAAGAATTCAGTCATTTAGGGATGATTTTAAATAGTAAGGAGAGTGTTGCTAGATCTATTAATGCCAGAAATGACTCCTGACTCCAATTCATGTTGGGTATGAACATTCCAACAGGTTGGAGACGTTGACGACTTCACTTTAACTCCATGCGATTCACAAGATGACCTAGGTTCAACAATGTCTGGTCTGGAGGGGGCAAGTGATGGATATGGCAGCCGTGAGTCTTAATTTCTATTCGTTAATGCATAAGTCATTCTGTTTTATGATAATGTTAGTGAGATCCAAAATATATCTCAAGAAGTATTTTCTTTCATTTGTGTGTGTCTGAGTTGAAGAATGTAACCTACTTCAGATATTGCGACTTTTTGGAAAAGTAACACTTCTTACCTTGTTTATGCTAGAAAGAGGCCAGGGTGTTCTAGCTAGTCAGTCTAATAATGACCTTTGTCCTACCATAGATGCAGATAACACCTTTCACTTGGCTTCAGTGGTTGAGACCTATCTCTGATTGATCTCAAGCAGCTAAATAGACAAGTATGTTATTTAGGTCAGAGCCGGGTAATACAGCACAACCCAATTTTCACCCTCTTTCTCAATCTGGTAATACCCTGAAAGAAACTTACATTTGATTATAGGCTCTCCCAGACTGAGATATTTAAAATGTTTGTAGTAGATTTCAGGGATGTTAACAAATGTTTATTTTTGTAAACATGTACAGAGAATTTTTCAGCAGTTACACCTTTACATGCAGGGGCAGGCGGGAGCTGGTGATCGCAGGGAGCTGACTTTTAAGTACCAGTTCCTGCTTGCGCCACTGCTGCCTCTAATAGCAGTGCTGGGGGCAGGCGGTTCCACTGGAGCCCATACACACGGGGAGCCAGATTGAAAGTCAGCTGCTCCCGAGCATCAGCTCCCACCTGCCTTCCCCTTCCCGCGGACCACCCATGATATCAAAATAGACACAGGAGGGGGTGGAGTTCTAGTGTGAGAGTGTAGGAGTGGGTTGTGGGAGAGGTTAGATGCAGGAGCGCGGTAGGAGGTTGGGTGCAATAGCGGGCTGCGTGTCTGGCTGGGAGATGAGATGCAGGTGGGATGTGAGGTCTGGGAAGGAATAGGAAGTGAAGAAGCAGGGTGAAGCTGCATGGTCTCGGTGGGAATGTGAGCTCTGGGCTTGGAGGGATGAGGGGCTCTTACTGGCTATATGCTGTCCCCTGGCTCGGTGCTTACGGCCTGTGGAAACAACAGGGAAAGCCTCCAAGCGGGTGCTTCCTTGCGCTGCCATTCCCCCAGCTGATATGTAGGTTTCTTAGACCAAGTATTTCAGATGATGGAACGCTTTCCTTATGATCGTAGGTGGGTTCTGTTCTGGGATAAAACAGAAGCGGACAGCTTTTCTAATTATTGAAAGCTGGAAGGACTTTTGACTATGGAATCTACATTTTTGTGTGTCTGTGTTTATGGTCGCACTACAACAGATTTGTTTGGTCTGAAATACTTTTTTGTGTCTGTTTTCAGATACCAGTTCAGAGATGGCAGCTAAACTAAATCAGGAGGTAGAAACAAATGAACACATAGATGCTAGTTTCATGGCTTATCTGCAGTGCTGCGGAATATTTCAAGATCCAATGAACCCAGTGAAAGAAATAGAAACAATTTCACCACAATTAAAGGTAATATGTGATAGGAAAGCTAGTGTACCAAGAACTTACTGTGGTCTCTCACCTTAAAGCAAAACAGACGTAACTGCAAATTATGTAAAACAGTTAGCTATAAGTCAGCTGCTCATTTTATTATGCTGTAATGATTTCTCTCTTGAGTTGGTTGCAATAAGGTCCTCTTCCTGCCCATTTTTCTCTTTCCCCTGGCTCTGTCTAGTGGGAAGTGTACTGCACTGTCTTGCTTTTCTTCCATGGAGTCATAGTTGCTCTCAATGAAGTGGGGTGGTGCCCTATCCTGCTACTCGAATTGAGTCTTACATCCTAGTGGTGTCCCATGATAGCAGCGGGGCATGGTTTGTTGTCAGGCTTCACTAGCATTAGTACTTAACTGTCTCCAGTACTTGAAGAGAGAGGGGAAGCATTCCACTGAATGACAGATGGAGGAATAAGATGTTTCTCCATGAAAAGTGTACAAGAGCTAGTAGCTCCATACATTGCTATATCCTAAGTTCATTCTGAAGATGTCAGAATTCCATCTGAGCCATATCGCTAGCTTACCTGTCTTTTACTGAAAGTCACATGCCCCCAGGGAGAACAGAAAGTTTCACACTCTGAATGTCTGAGTTTTGGCTTTCTACCTACAGAAAACAAAACCCGTCAGAAAATCCCTTGAACGATTTGTCTCCTTTACCAGATGTACACAAGAAGAAAGCTAAGTGGATTTCAGGCATCATCCTCATCATCATCAGCCATGGGCTCAATGCCTGTTGGTGTCCGATGCCTCCTAATATTTCCTTCCATCTTTCCCTGTCCAGTGCGGAGTGGCTTAGTTTCTGTAGACTAGCTCCGCACCCATCTACTATATCATTTACCCATTCTCTGTGGGGTCTGCCTCTCCTGTTCGGATCATTCTGCCCATTGTTCATTCTGCAGACATGCCCAAATAGCTGTAACTTCCGTTGTATAATCTTCCGCAGTAGGCTCTCTTTTGGCTGTATCTTCCTATATAATTCCTCGTTGGTGACATTGTGCATCCATCCTATTCTCAGGATCTTTCTATAACAACTCCTCTTGAATGCCAATATCCTTCTCTTTGAATCTTTCGTTATCACCCATGTCTCACATGTACAACATGCTGCTAAATACACACGCACCTAGAGAGAGTAATGGACAAGATCAAGGAAGAGGTAGAAGGGATATCGGTGCATGGGATGAGAATTAACAACTTGGGGATCGCAGATGATATAATTATCGGGGAAGATGAAGAGAAGCTAGCGAGAACGGTGCAGGTGCTAAATGGGGAAGGGAAGTGGTATGGACTGATGATGAATATCAATAAAATGAAGACAATGGTATTTGGAGATAAGGAAATAGGAAGGAAGATCAGTGTAGATAGGATTGAACTAGAGAACGTAGAGAAGTTCACATATTTGGGAGCAACATGACTTATGATCTATACTGTAAGAAGGAAATGGTGACCAGAATAGCGAAAGCAAGAGTGAGTTTGAAGGCAATGGACAAGATCTGGAAAAGGCATCATCCTGCTTTTCTATAAATCGACAGCCACATGCTCGAGCAGAGCCCAGTGGCCTCTTGAGCTTTGCTGTGAGGAAATCTCTTCAAGAGGTCTATAAAGCAGAACGGGGGCTACATGTGTTCCTTTGTGAGATGTTATGCCCTGGCAAGCTTTGACAGCAGATGCCTCCTTTGGCAGATGAGTCCTTCAATCAGTTTCTTGCACTCTTCTCCTTGATGAATACTTCTTGTGAGTCACCTCGAGGGGAAAGCACATAGGGAGAATCATCCCAAGGAAGAATGGTTACTTATTTTGTACGGTCACTATGGTCCATTGCTGAATTTCACTACCTTCTATCTTTCCCTCTGCTTCAGAGCCTTATCCTAAAATTATTTGTGATAGATGAGGAATTGGAGAGGTACTTGGTCCACTCTGCCGTGCTCCTTATAGAATTCACCGTTGTGGTGTTCTGACGGGTCTCCTGCTACATCAGTGATAACGGCAGTGTGCATGTGTGTTCATTCCAGTGTGTTGTGTTAACTTTGTGCAAGCAGTCAACACAGCAGTCTCTGAGAGAGCCCCCAAAGACCAGAAAATCAGATCAGGATCAAAGGTACCCGGACAGGTTTATTGTTGTGACGTACAGTGATAATTGCCGCTAGACTCAACTGAACCACCATGCGTACATACATCCTGACAATGGACCTGCTCAGTCATAACCTCAAAACCATTACTGCCCCCTAGGCTGAACAAAGACAGCCTTTCTAAGACACCACTTTATATAGGTACAAACCAGTTACATATCACTCCTGGCATGTCAGGTTGCCATCTTCTGATATTATCTAGATTACACTCATCACCCTGCACCTCATGGTCTGATAAGAACATCTCTATCCATCATGCTGTCATTTTAGACCCTTTCCTGAACTCGGGTCGGTATGTCCCTGTTACCTGTGGGGGGGTTTGGGTACCAAGGTTCTTTTTAATGAGGTGGTGTTACCATTTTTTTTGGAATGTGCTTTCAGCGAATGCCTAGGACCCATTACTGTTTTACAGCTAGTACCTAGTACCAGTTACTGTTCTACACTTGGGCCTGTTACTATTTAGTGTTTTTACACTCACAGCTCAATTTATGACTCATTTCACTCAACCCCAGATGTCCGTTATTGACAATAGGGGTTAATTTCATAATAACAGATTTAATAAATTTTGGTTTATTGTAGTAGCAAATTGCTCAAGGCACCAAACTTTATAAATGTACCTGACAACTTCAATAGAGTAACCAAAACTTTGATATCTTGAAATTATACTTAAGGAAAATAAGCATATGCTGTATGAAACTTTCAAGTTTTATAATGCCAGGCAATATATTTTTGTTCTTGTGGGTCCTTTATTTGATAAACGGGTCAAAATGTGATGGATCTGTGACATTATATAGAGGTCATGTTTCAGATTTGCATTTAACAAACTTTTTTCACGTTCAGGGCTGTTTTGCTATCAGTCTTCTCTCATATGTCGTTGAGAGATCTATTTCTATCTCCATTTTGCTAATAATGCCAACCTGCAGTGTCTGCTAGCTATATTTTCAACATTCACCTTTATATTCTTTCTTGTTCCCCTCATACAAGGAAGGATTTCTTTGTAAACCTGTGCAAAGCCAGCTATTGTCCTCCTTCAAATCACATCTTAAAATATTCATTTGCAGTGATGCCTACAAAAAAAAATTGACAATTAATAGGTTGCTGGTATGCAGTAACCATTGTCTTTCATTGTGCCATCCCTGTCTGTGTCTGCCTCTTGTTGTTTGATTTATACTTACATTATAAATTCTTTGAAGCAGGCACGATTTTCTTGTCTTGTGTTTGTACAGTGCCTGGAGCAGTGAGGTCTGGGTCTGACTGGGCTTCTAGATGCTACCATCAAAACAACAGTCATACTTAAAATAATGTCTGGGTGAATGGGGCTCCATAAAAATGTGTTTCTGGCTTATAAGAAGTTGAGGGGATGAGACAGGCAGAGACAATATGCATGTTGGTCAGTGGGCGCTGGTGTATGGTGTTTATGCACCTCAATGTATAGAATGTACACAGGGACCACGCATCTCGAAGAACTTCCAGTTAGAGGTGAATGACTTCCTCTTTCTAACAGTCTATTTTAAATTAAGTTTATAGTGCAGACAGCTCCTTCTGACAGAAAACACTCTTGAACATAAGGTAATGGTTTTTGTTTTAAATGTAATTTGTACAAACACAAATTCCAAAAAGTTTTCTTTATCTTTTAGCATTTTAGATTATATTGGGACTATCGCATCAGTTTATAAACAATGTTTTATCCCTTTTCAGTCTGTGCTGAAGATGGTATACGAGGACAGTCGAAGAATACTGGCTTTGTCAGAACATCCCTTCCCTCTTAGTGATCAAAAAAGCATTCAGCAGTCTGTAGCAGCTGAGGGATGGCAAAAAGAAGGACTAGCCTTGCTGGATGCAATACAGTCATTGAAGGACTACCTTAGAAAAGTGGCAGAGAGAGGAGACAAGGTATCCAGGATAAAGTGTGTTGCACGAAAAAAAAGATCTGTTATTTTAAGGGAGGTATGCATACTAATAAAGTTACTCTTAATCCTATAGGAATCTTCAGATACTTGTTTTGATTGGAGAGGAGAACTTCTTCAGGCAGTTCAGAGTGTGCTAGAGAAGGAACGGAACGTGTTTCATATTGACTTGCAGTCACACCTTTGCAATCCTGGTTCTGGAGATGAAGGATCATTGGTGGAAAAACTGGAGCATATTGTAAAACGACAAGTAAGACCACACTGGAGTATTAACAATTAAAAATCACTTCGTTACTCTTCAACGTGGAGGCCATAATGATGAGCATAATGCATGAATGTGTCCCTCGTTTTCCAGTCTCACTTCTTATGCTCTTAAATCCAGAATTGCAGTCGAAACAGGTCAAGAGCAATAGATATTTATAAAGGCTTTGTTTTGACTGCCATTTTTCTCTACACTTCATTGAGGGATACTGATGGCAGTGTTTGTTAGCCAATCAGTGGGTTTTCAGGAGATTGTGATAGTGGGAAGAAGGTGCTTCACATTAAAGTAGACAATATGGACTCCTAGCTATGGAAATGTTTTTTTTGGTAAAATGTATAGCCCAAATTAGTCCTTTGGTGATTTTGGATAACTTCATGATGATAGGCTAGTATCAAGCAAGAGAGTATTCAGTAACTATTGCCCTATTAGGGAAACCAATAAATTGCATTCTTTTACTTAATTCAAGAGAGTTAATAAAATGGGTATAAGTTGGGTCAAATTGCCTCTCTTCATTGTTTATATAAAATGTGATGTGCTGTACAGGTGAGCGTGCCCTGTGAGGATATGTAGGATTTATATTATGAGAAGAATTAAGTTGTATTTGGAAATGTAATATTACTTAGACGTTACTGTGGTTTCTTCTTTCTTTTTACATCCCTAATGTCTGAAATGGGCTTGGTCTGTTTTTAGGAAGAACAGCAGAGGATAGTTTTAGAACACCTTCTGTCTTCTGATAGAAAGAGTTTACTTTCTGAGATACAGGACCTTCGAGCCCAACTACGAATGACACATCTTCAAAACCAGGAGAAGCTACAGCAGCTACAGGAAACTCTTATTAATGCAGAGGATCGTGGGAGCAAACAAGAACATCAACTTCGGAGGAAGGGTAGCACCTAGGAAACCATTTCCATCTGCTCTTCCATTCATACACGCGGGGGAGGGGGGGTGGAGAGGTGGGGAAATGTAGAAAGTGCTGTAAAATTGATAAATGAATTCTGACGTCAGATGTAATTGTTTTGAACTTCTTAGAGTTTCTTTTGGGTATGGGAGTGGAGGTCATCAAGATAGTTGTGTCTCAGAAAAGGCTGTACAGTAAAACTCCGATGATCCGGCATCTGACGGTTCGGCACTCCTGATGGTCCGGCACCATCAGGAACCTGGAAGTGCTCCGGGCAGCCGGACCATTGGAGCTGCTCTGCCCCCAGCTTCCCCTATT